GTAAGACAGAGAGTAGGATTGCAGATGAGCAAGGAGGCTTTAGTGGGTAGGGGATGTGTAGATCAAATGTTAAAATTAAAGCATATATATTTTTTTTTTTTTTTCAACAAGTTGGCCGTCTCCCACCGAGGCAGGGTGACCCAAAATTTAAAAGTTCCTCAAAATATTCTCGCCATCTACCTAATACCTCCCTCTCCCCATCTACTAACTCCCCTACTCTGTTTTTAACTGACAAATCCATACGTTCCCTAGGCTTTCCTAACTTGTTTAACTCACTCCAAAATTTTTTCTTATTTTCATTAAAATTTCTTGACAGTGCCTCTCCCACTCTATCATCTGCTCTCCTTTTGCACTCTCTCACCACTCTCTTCACCTTTCTTTTACTCTCCATATACTCTGCTCTTCTTATAACACTTCTGCTTTGTAAATACCTCTCATAAGCTACCTTTTTCTCTTTTATCACACCCTTTACTTCATCATTCCACCTATCACTCCTCTTTCCTCCTGCCCCCACCCTCCTATAACCACAAACTTCTGCCCCACATTCAAATACTGTATTTTTAAAACTCATCCAACCCTCTTCATCCCCCCCCCCCTCACTACTCATCTTTGCACTAGCCCACCTTTCTGCCAATAGTCGCTTATATCTCACCCAAACTTCCACCTCCCTTAGTTTATACACTTTCACTTCCCTCCTACTTGTTGTTGCCACCTTCCTCTTGTCCCATCTTCCTCTTACTCTAACTGTAGCTACAACTAAATAATGATCCGATATATCAGTTGCCCCTCTATAAACATGTACATCCTGGAGCCTACCCATCAACCTTTTATCCACCAATACATAATCTAACAAACTACTTTCATAATGTACTACATTATACCTTGCATATTTATTTATCCTCTTTTTCATAAAATATGTATTACTTATTACCAAATCTCTTTCTACACATAGCTCAATTAAAGGCTCCCCATTTACATTTACCCCTGGCACCCCAAATTTACCTACTACTCCCTCCACAACATTTTTGCCCACTTTAGCATTGAAATCCCCAACCACAAGTACTCTCACACTTGGTTCAAAACTCCCCACGCATTCACTCAACATTTCCCAAAATCTCTCTCTCTTCTCTACACTTCTCTCTTCTCAAGGTGCATATACGCTTACTATAACCCACTTTTCACATCCAACCTTTATTTTACTCAACATAATCCTTGAATTAATACATTCATAGTCCCTCTTTTCCTGCCTTATCTTATCCTTCAACATTATTGCTACTCCTCCTTTAGATCTAACTCTATTTGAAACCCCTGACCTAATCCCATTTATTCCTCTCCACTGAAACTCTCCCACCCCTTTCAGCTTTGTTTCACTTAAAGCCAGGACATCCAGCTTCTTCTCATTCATAACATCCACAATCATCTCTTTCTTATCATTTGCACAATATCCATGCACTAAAGCATATATGTGAACAGTATTTAGATAAAGGTAGAAAAGTTTTCATTGCATTTATGGATTTAGAACAATGTGGCAGATGTTGCAGGTGTATGGAATAGGTAGTAAGTTACTAAATGCTGTAAAGAGTTTTTATGAGGAAAGTGAGGCTCAGGTTAGGGTGTGTAGGAGAGAGGAAGATTACTTCCTGGTAAAAGTAGGTCTTAGACAAGGATGTGCAATGTCACCATGGTTGTTTAATATATTTACAGATGAGGTTGTGAAAGAAGTAAATGCTAAGGTGTTGGGGAGAGAGGTGAGAGTTGACACAGTTACTGTTTGTTGATGGTACTGTGCTTATGGGAGATTCTAAAGAAAAGTTGCAGAGGTTAATGGACAAGTTTGGGAGGGTGTGTAAATGTAGAAAGCTGAAAGTGAACACTGCTTAGAGTAAGGTGATGAGGGTATCAAATGATTTATATAAAGAAAAATTTGGATATCACATTGGAGAGAGGGAGTATGGTAGAAGTGAATGTTTTCAGATACTGTATTTGGGAGTTAACATGTCAGCTGATGGGTTTATGAAGGATGAAGTTAATCATAGAATTGATGAAGGAAAAGAGGTGAGTGGTGCACTGAGGTATTTGTGGAGACAAAAAATGTTATCCATGGAGGCAAAGAAGGGAATGTATGAAAGTAGTATAGTGGTACCAACACTCTTATATGGGTGTGAAGCTTGGGTTGTAAATTCTGCAGTGAGGAGGTGGCTGGAGGCAGTGGAGATGTCCTGTCTAAGGGCAATGTGTGGTGTAAATATTATGCAGAAAATTCGGAGTGTGGAAATTAGGAGAAGGTGGAGTTAATAAAAGTATTAGTCAGAGGGCTGAAGAGGGGTTGCTGAGGAGGTTTGGTCATTTAGAGACAATGGATCAAAGTAGAATTACTTGGAATAAAGCCGTAGGGGAAGGAAGGCAGGGTAGGGGTCGTCCTCGAAAAGGTTGGAGGAAGGGGGTAAAGGTTTTGTGGGTGAAGGGGCTTGGACTTCCAGCAAGCATACGTGAGCGTGTTAGATAGGAGTGAACGGAGACGAATGATTTTTGAGACCTGATGAGATGTTGGAGTGTGAGCAGGGTAATATTTAGTGAAGAAATTCAGGGAAACCAGTTATTTTTATATAGCCGGACTTGAGTACTGGGAATGGGAAGTACAATGCCTGCACTTTAAAGGAGGGGTTTGGGATATTGGCAGTTTGGAGTGGTATGTTATATATCTTTATATATGCTTCTAAACTGTTGTATCTGGGCACCTCTGCAAAGACAGTGATTATGTGTGAGTGAGGTGAAAGTGTTGAATGATGATGAAAGTATTTCCTTTTTTGGGATTTTTCTTTCTTTTTGGGTCACCCTGCCTCAGTTGGAGACAGCCGACTTGTTAAAAAAAAACACACATAGTTTTACATACAGATTAGGGAATACGAAAACTGAGGTTCCACTGTACTGTATATCTATTGTGTGTACAGTACTATATTAAGTACGCAGTAGAATCCTCTAGTGCTTTTTCTGTGATTTTTTTAACATTCTGATTTAATCCTTTAACTGTCCAAACGTTGATCTACATTCTTGCTGCTAGCTCTCCAAATATAGATCAGCGTTTTATTTTTCCCGTCTTTAAATTTGGCACGACTGGACTTAGATGCCTCGTCAGTATAGAAGGGGTCTTAATACTCAGTGTGCACAGTATTAAAAAATGTGACCACTTAGTACCTTGTGGAAGCACCAGTTCGATTGAGCGCCAGCTAGAGCAAACAGTGTGGCAAACACAAGGGATTCACCGATGCCATGTCGTATTAACAATCCCCTTTACAGAGGAAAGTGATGTTGACCCTGAGTTTAGTGAATGAGATGGATGTGGTCACAAGTCATCGAGGAAATATCAAAACCCTTGATAATAACCCATGTACAACATTTGTGCCACACCCTTTCTATTTTGATACCACTGGTAGTGTCATCCTTCCAAAATGTCCTATAACCTATGCCCTTAATAAAGAGAAACGGTTCTGGAACATGTGTAATATGTGTTCGGCAGGCTGGCTGGATGAGTGGCTGGCTGGCTGATTGGCTTTGGCTGTCTCTATCTGTATCTCACAGGTACAAATAAGGTCAGTTATCATAAATAGTGTAAATTACTTAGGATAACCCAAGAAAGCCAGACAATGTGCTATACTGTGCCTATAGATATAAGGCATAAGCATGACTGGCATTTAATACGCATTTCCACTTGTTCAGGAATCATATGTGACGATTCTGTAAAGCGTGTAATACCTGTTGGTTTATAAGCAGCTCTCTCTCTCTGAGACAGACACAGGCAGAGATATACAAAGGCAGACAGAGAGAGAGGCAGATAGAAAGACAGATAGAGACAGATAAACAGAGACTGAGCTAGACAGACAGATACAGTGGAACCTCAAATATTGAACTGCTCCCAACTCAACCAATTATATAAGTGTATTTTTGTAAGTGCTTTTATAAGTGTATTTTTGAGGGTCTGACATGAACTAATCTAATTTACATTATACCTGATGGGAATAAATTCGTTCAGAAATGGCACTCGAACAGCCGTCTGGAACAAAGAAAGTCTGATATTTGAGGTTCCACTGTAGACGTTAACAGTGAAAACCTATAAAAAAAAACATATGCCAAGGTTAACTGGGAGCAGTGCATGATCAGTAATACTGAGTGATAAGTGACTTCACCATCAGTTGTGCGGAGTGATACTTGTCTGACACCATACTTCAAGGAATTTCATATACTTCTAAAAACATTACTGGGACATAAAAATAATTTATATATATTTCTAGTATGTGACCAAGGCAGATAAACATGTTCACCTGTCAGTGTGTGTGTGACTGACTTATTACTATTTGCATACCTAATGTTAGTGCCAAAACAAAGACTGGCTATAAAATCATAAGTACTACTAGAAACTGTAATTATCAGAACATAAAAATGCAAATAAAAAAAAATCCGAGAAACAAAGGTATGCCGGCAACATTTCTGCAAGTGGCAAGACTCCATGTTGCTGTCAGGTGAGCATTCAGCGCTAACTTTGTGGCTTTATATCTCAGTAAGTATTGACCCTAAATATTTTTTTTGTCTTATTACACAAAGAAAATTGCCCTCTTTATTCAATTTTTTTTTTTCAAAATATTTGTGTATCTTTATATGTGTATGCTTCTAAACTGTTGTATTCTGAGCACCTCTGCAAAAACAGTGATAATGTGCGAGTGTGGTGAAAGTGTTGAATGATGATGAAAGTATTTTCTTTTTGGGGATTTTCTTTCTTTTTTGGGTCACCCTGCCTCAGTGGGAGACGGCCGACTTGTTGAGAAAAAAAAAAAAAAATTGGAGCATTAGCAGTGAAAACGTAGATCAACATTTGGACAGTTTCAGGGTTAACAGACATTTGGACAACCACTGCATATTAGTCCGTTAAATTGAGGACTTACTGTATTGTGATTTATCATTTAATTCAACAAGTAACAAATTTCATTTAATGAAAGCATACTAACCTGATTCAGAATCTGAAGAAGAATCAAAACTGTTCTCTTCTCCTGAAGGTTTAATCTCTTGAGGTCGTACTGAAAATCCTTCATCGTCAACGTTTGGAATCTGACCACTCGCATTTGCCTTGTCTGAAGATGTTGACGTTACTGAAGTAGTTATTAGTTCACCTGTCTTTGGTGCCGAGTCATCGTTGGTTTCACTGTAAAGGGGAGGAAAAAAAGTAAAATTATTTAACTTGCACTTCACTTAACTCTTTAATCTGATCCCTGATCAGAGTTTCTTGAATAATCAGCATGAGTCATACTGACAAAAATAAGCTATTAAAGAAAAACATAATAAAATGATTAAATTATTCTTTCTTTCTTTCTTTCTTTCAACGCACCAGCCATATCCCACTGAGGTGGGGTGGCCCAAAAGGAAAAACGAAAGTTTCGTCTTCTAAATTTAGTAATATGTACAGGAGAAGGGGTTACTAGCCCCTTGCTCCCGGCATTTTAGTCGCCTCTTAAATTATTCTACCCTTAATAAATAAGACCTGTGCAACATTTGGGAATCGTTATTCTGGAAACATTTTGCCAGCTAGTGGCTTCTTCAGTCCAATGCAGGGAAAGGTGGAAGAGGCAAATGTTTTCACAATAAAGATGACCAAATGTTGCAAGTGTGTCTCATTTATCAACTTGTCAGTTTTCCAAACCATTTATTCATATTCTACCCTTCCTGCCAGAATCACCATAAATCTTCAATCAATCATTCACAGTAAGTTTTGACCTCTGTTAACCCATCATAGGTCTGTACAGGTATTATACAGGACCACATCAACCCTCTCCATACACTTTCAGATCAATAAGGAATGACAAATGCAATGTAAGGTGTTAAAATCTTGAATTCTACTGAAGTCACAGAAAAGCCAAAATTACTAACTGGTAAGGCAAGATGATAATTATTAGACAGTGGAATGAGATGCAATAGTAATAATGTAATAAAGGTTAAAATTTAGGAGCAGTATTAACCCTTTGAGTGTCTGAGGGTTCTATCGCTTTGAAGCCAGGGTCCAAGCCATAGTATAGTACAGTGGACCCCCGGTTAACGAACTTTTTTCATTCCAGTAGTATGTTCAGGTGCCAGTACTGACCGAATTTGTTCCCATAAGGAATATTGTGAAGTAGATTAGTCCATTTCAGACCCCCAAACATACACGTACAAACGCACTTACATAAATACACTTACATAATTGGTCGCATTTGGAGGTGATCGTTAAGCGGGGGTCCACTGTACTATGTCAAGCTCAGATCACTCAAGATAAACTGTGAGTGGTAAATCTGGGTCTAGATATGAGAGAATGCACCTTAGTGGTATGTATGCACCATATAAAACAATACCTGCAGCAAGCAGTGAATGAGAGAAAAAAAAAAAGTGTGTTTCTGGATTAAAATAGTGACTTCGGGGTGTATTTTCGTAAGGTTTTCATGGTTGTATTCGCGGTTTCTTGGTCTCATTTGACAGACGGGAAGACATAAATTACAGAAATAGAGATGATTTTGATTGGTTTTCGTACTGAAAATAGCTTGAAATTGAGCTCAAAGTAGCGGAATGTTCGATTTTTGCTGATGTTCAAAAGAAAACAAATCACATCGTGTGTCCAATACATGTCAGCTGGTGGGTCTAATGTGCGTTTATGAATGCTTTGATATTATTTATTAAATTATTGCAATATTGCATAACAGTAAATCTCTTTTCTGGTGTGAATAAAAATTCTATAGGTGAATAAAAAATCAAAATGGAATTCATCTGTAAAGCCTGGAAATGTAACTAATAAACAGAGGAAATGTTAATTTAGTGCCAGGAATGCCTGCATTGTTTATTCTGAACCCTATTTTGAAATTGGAATATTTTGAACTGTGTGAAATTGGCCAAATTACCAATTTCCAATCACTATTGGATAGTTGAAATAGTTGATTGGACAATTTCTTGTGCTTAATAGATAAAATGGAACACATACTAGCAAAATAGCTAAGAATTTGGTCTAACAGAACAATGTAATTGGCCAAAAATTGACTCAAAGTCGGTAAAATCGCTGATGCATAAATATCGCTGACACAGAAAAATTTGCGAGAGTAATTTCGTCAATTCTTGATCAAATTTCATACTTTTTGTTTTGTTACCTTCAAAAAACAATTCTCTACCATTTCATAAGAAAAAATAATTTCTTTTTTAAATTATTCGACCCTATGGGGAATTTTCAGATTGGGGGTCTGGACTCTCAAAGTGTTAAAGAGAGACAGGAATACATGATGTAATAAGATAGCAGCAAAAATAACAACTTGACAGTAATTAAATAATTTTTTTAGAAAATTACATATGTAATTCTTAACTATTTAACCCCTTAACTGTCCAAACATTGATCTACGTTGTCACTGCTAGTGCCCCAAATATTTTGAGAAAAAAAAAATTAAAGACGGCAATTTTGTGTGTGTAATAAGACCAAAAAAGAAATTTAGGGTCAGTACTTGCTGAGATATAAGGCCATGAAGATGGCACTGGATGCTCACCTGACAGCAACACTGAGTCCTACCGCTTGCAGAATATACCTTTTTTTTTTTTTTGTTTTTATTTTAATTTATATAATTTTTATGTTCTGATAATTACAATTTATAGTAGTTTTTGTGATTTTATAGCCAAGCTTTGTTTTGGCAATAATATTAGGTACTGAAATAGTAATCAAATAGTCACAAACACTGTGAGAGGTGAACATTTTCCCTGCCTTGGTCACATATTATTGTCTAGAAATATATACAAAGTATTTATAGGTCCCAGCAATGTTTTAGACACACTGTAGTATATGAAACTCCTTGAAGCATGGTGTAAGACAAGCACAGTGTAAGACACTTGATGATCAAGCACTGCTCCAGTGAACCTTGGCTTTGTTTGTTTTCACAGTTACACAAACATGTCTGTCTGTCTGTCTAGCTCTCTCTCTCTTTATCTCTGTCTCTGCTAATTTGTCTCTCTGTATGTCTCTGTCTTCCTGTTTCTCTATCTCAGACAGCTGCTCATGAACCAACAGGTATTACACATGATGCAGTCGTCACGTCTGATTCCTGATCAAGTGAAAACGCGTACTGCCAGTCATGATTATTAAGCCTTATATCTACAAGCACAATATAGCACAATGCATTTTTTGGGGCTATCCTAGGTAATTTACACTATGTATGATAACTGTACTTACAGTGCTAGTCATGGCATTACGCCGGTGAGTGCCCAGGCATAATGCCATGACGAAAATCGAAGTCCTACCATACAGGGGGGTCCTTTTTCGTCACTGCATTATGACGGGTAGCAGCCGTTAGCATGCCATCATGACCTGCCACCACACTCCACAGTGACTCCTCAGTGCTCACGTGGCTGCCATGGTGAGAGGAAGTTTTGCACTTTTGCCTCTCATCTGCCCCATCTTTTGTCCAGTGTTCCCTTTGGTTTTGGGGCTATACGTGCTTGATTATGGGTAAAAGAAAGTCTAACACCTAAAACTATAGCTCAAATCATAGGACTTTACAAAGCTGGGCACCAGACGAAAGAAATAGTGGAGAATATTGGTGTGTGTGTGAGAGTTCAGTGAGTAACTAGGTGCAGTGTTTCAAGGCGAGTTACCGTCTGCCAAACCTTGGCCTGACCCCTCGAAGAAGACATCTGTTTGTACCTGAACTGTGTTAAAGAAGCAGTTAGAGAGTACACTTAAGATAACTGCTAGAGAATCGAAAGAAAAGAACCCACATCTTCTCTCAGAGGGGTTTGTAAGAACTGGGCTACAGTAGTCACTGCAACTGATCCTCTCCAAGAAACATAGGCTGGACTATGCGAAGATATATCTTCACTGGAATCCTCAACAGTGGTCTGAAGTACTTTGGAGTGATGAAGCAACCTTCACTGTCACCTGTAACCGTGGGGGGTATGTGTACCAGCCCAGAGGTAGTGACCCGCTAAACCCATGCTACACCTGTGGGACCACCAAACACCCAGACTTGCTCATGGTTCGGGGGTGTTTCAGTGCTCAGAGTGTTGGTGAACTTATTGTACTTCCCAAAAGCCACTATATGAACCAGTATAATTACGTGGAGTTATTGTGTTACAATTTACCTGAGGCGTTTGCCAAGTGTGGGGCTACAGTTTTTATGCAGGACAGTGCACCGTGTCATACTGCCAAACCTGTAGTTCAGTGACTTAAAGACTGTGAAGTGAGGCTCTTTAATGACTGGCCAGGCAATTCCCCAGACCTAAACCCTATTGAGAACCTCTGGTCAAAAGTGAAACGAAGCTTACTGGGCAAGGATATCAATTCCATCCCGTGGTTGGAAGCTGCTCTACATGAGGCATGGAATAATATACCTCCCAAAACATTCAAGAATTTGTGTAAGAGTCTTCCTACATGGCTGAGGGACCTGATTAAGTGTAAAGGACGCAGCACCAAGTATTAAAACCTCAGAAAGTGTGCAAATACATATATTATAATCATTCATGGTAAGTGTTTGTGTTTTGGTACGTGTGGGGGGAAGAGGGGCGGCATAATGCTGTGACTAGCACTGTCTGTGTACCTGTAAGACAAAGATACAGAGACAGATACAGAGATAGAGACAGCCAAAGTCAATCAGCCAGCCAGCCAGTCACCCATCCAGCCGACCTGCCGAACACATATTACACGTTCCAGAATCGTTTCTCTTTACTTAGGGCATAGATTATAAGACATTCTGGCAGGATGACACTACCGGTGGTATCAAAACTGAAAGGATGTGGCACAAATGTTGCACATGGGTTATAATCAAGGTTTTTAATATTTCCTCAGCCACTTGTGACCACATCCATCTCAAAGTCACTAAACTCATGGTCAACATCATTTCTTCTTAAAAGGGAAGTGTTAAAATGATATGGCATCAGTGAATCCCTGGTGTTTGCCATGCTGTCTGCTCTAGCTGCCGCTCAACTGAACTGGTGCTTCCACAAGGTACTAAGTGGTCCCAGATTTTTTTTAATACCACACACACCAAGTGTTAAGACCCATTCCATACTGACCAGGCATCTCAGGCCAATCGTGTCAAATTTGGTGGCAAGAAAAATAAAACATTGATCTATGTTTGGAGTGCTAGCAGTAAGAATGTAGGTCTACATTTGAACAGTTAACCCATTAACTGTCCAAATGTAGATCTA